TGAACGAAATTCATATTCTTTAAAATAATTATGTTATGAATTCTAAAAGCAAAAATGTGATAAATTCGTAATATGAACAACTGACAAAATTTTAACGGCGTTAATATTTTTTTTTAAATTAAGAACAAGTATTATCCCGTTTGTCTTACAAATGTAATAAATTCGTAATATGAACAAAAAGCGTTTTTAAGAAATGTAAGAACATACTTTGTATTATGCCGCTTGTTTTCACTTCAAAGTTTTAAGATCAATTACTAGATGAATGATATTGAACGAATAACTGTGAAATATCTTGATAGTTTAGCGTTCGCTAATTTCGGTATTTGTAATTAAAAGACGTCATGAAAACTGAAACGGGTTGACGGATACCGATAAGCACCGTAAGCGCTTTTGACAGATGTGTTCGTAACAATAGTTTAAAATTATTATTGTGTGAGTTAGAGGTTATCAAACTTAAGCTACTTTCATAATTATAATTACAGTTCTTCATGTGTCCACTGTTTAAAATAAACCTCGTCCATAGATTAACACAAACACGGTCTTGCATTCACTCACATGCATTGATCGTGTCCCTATATGTTCCATAAGGTCATCACGCCATACAATGGTCGGTCGCCCAGCGCGTTTGCCAGTATGAGTTTTCAGTCGGCAGTCTGTAATTATACCGACTCTATACGCTTTAGACTGGGACAGAGTAGTGCATGCACTAGCATTTCGCGGCAGAGATAAGTGAGAGGGCGGTACCAACTAACAAGGGCTCCTAGCCAAAAATCCGTCCACCTAGTACAACTCTCCTAAGTTATAACACTCATAACTTACTGCCGATATATGTTGACTTTCCCAAGAATGCGCCATTATACTTGCGTTGAAAGATTTCATCATTTCATCATCATGCTCATACTCACTACACTGTGCAGGTGGGTTGTTCAGTTGTCTCTGTTGCTCCCCATCACCATTCGGGAACCTTTCTTCGCCTTCGGTTGTTTTTTTATTTTAGGGGGTAAATGTGTAAGTGACTCACCTAATAATAATAATAAAAAGGCGTAGGGAAGTGACGACCCCATCGCCCGCTGACGTAACAGTTATGTGACAAAATTGCAACGTCGGCGCAGTCAGTCAGCGCCCTGCCAAGAGGTGTGAGCGCCGTGCCTTGGCAAAATTGTGGGTGCAAAGGTCCGTTTGTGCATATGACCGAACCACGAAACGGTGCCGGGCTTGCGCGTCTCCCGTTATTTGGCGCCCATAGAATGGATGATGGCACAAAGAGGAACGCACATAGGGCCGCTGTCTAGGGGTCGCCGGGGCGCGTCTGGAGCTGGCGCTGGACGCGGCAGCAAGCGGGCCGCCAGCCGAGCGCGAGGAGCTGCACGGTCAACTAGCAGCCCTCCGCATCTATAATCCCCACCAGAAGGCTTGGTGTCGACTGGGTCTTCTTGGACTCAGCAAGCGGCACCCGCCGCTGGTGGAGCACGTCGCATGCGTTGGTCACAAACGATGAACGCAAACGCACTGCGGGCGTACTTTAGGGCAAAAGGGGAAGAAACTGGATGTTTGGCATATCGGGCTCGGATACATCGCTTTTTTGCAGAGCTGGAGCCATCTCTATCCATCACTGAGCAAAACCTGGCAGACCGAGTTTGGTACATCCTGCGCTCCAACATATTTGGTGACGCCGAACTCGAACGACTACGATGTGAGGCTGTTGTGGAAATGTGGATGCTGGCGTCAAAATTTCATTTGTGGTTGATTCAGACGATGATGTCCCCCAAGAACTAGAGAAAATAAGGAGCATATTGGAAGAGTCGGGCTGGAAACGCGCAGCATGCCTCTTAGAAATTGACCACGACTTCCCCGCATACCCCTTAGCAAGCGAAATTGGGCTGTCGTGCGGGCTCTTAACCCAATGCTGGTGACCTATTTGGAAGCCAGCCGGGACCTTTGCGAGACGGAGTCAATTCTTTTTGGCGCCGTACTGGCAGTATGCCGTATTATTGGCGCCAAACTTCGCATGGCTGGACGTGATACTCGACAAAGTAGCGCCATCCCAGCCTGGAAAAAGAGAAGAGGACCGTATCGCAAAGGCAAGGGTCCTAATCGGCAGACTGACAAGCTTCAGGTCGGGTTATAATAGACCGAGAGTTGTGCGCACGGTTAGAACGACGTTTGCTGGGACAAATATTGGTTTGTCCCAGTCGGATATCACGCATAAACTAGCGGAGCGCATAGATGACCTGAAGGAAAAAATCGCTGCTTGGGGAAAGCGGATTCGACGATTTAGAGAGAGGTCAAGGCAGTTCAACCAGAATCGTCTCTTCCAGAGTGATCAGAAGAGGCTCTATAAATCATTGGAGTGACTAGAGGTATGTGGAGCGGGCCTAGGACACGATCAGGCTGGTACTGTCGCATTCTGGCGTGGCCTGTGGTCAGAGCCCGTAAACCACAACGAAGCCCTTGGATGGAAGTTATGGCGAGCCAGAGTGCAAGTGTTACGCCCATGGACCCCGTCATCGTAACGCCAGAAGACGTGGCTGAGGCGGTCCGTAGGGCCCCGAACTGAAAAAGTCCGGGGCTCGATGGGCTGTATCATTACTGGCTGAAGGGGTTCGTAGTGTGTCACGCTGTGCTCGCCCGACAGTTCCAAGAGGTTCTCAACCAGAAGTCGCTCCCGAGCCTCTTCACTACTGGGATCACTCATTTGGTTCCTAAAGATCAGGATACCACAGATCCGAGCAAACACCGTCCCATCACGTGTCTACCTACCATATATAAGACACTGACATCCATTTTGAGCGCGAGAATCACTCATCATCTGGAGCTAAATCAGGTGATGTCACGCGCTCAAAATGGATTGAGGTGTGGTGGTCGTGGAACCAAGGAACCAGTCCTCATTGAAGCGGTCATAAGCAAAGTGGTGAAACGCAACCGTCGGAACTTCTCCGCCGCCTGGATAGACTACAGAAAGGCATTCGACTCGGTGCCCCATACATGGCTAAAGAGGGTACTCGACATGTACAAGATTGACTGTACAGTTAGAGACTTCCTCGAGCAGTATATGGGGCAGTGGAGTACGATCCTCTGTTATCTGGGCGAGCGGATGATGGCTGCGGAGAACCACATAAGGATAAGAAGGGGTATCTTCCAGGGCGATTGTCTGAGTCCAATCTGGTTTTGCCTCTCTCTGAACCCTCTCAGTACCTTACTGGAGAATTGCGGGAGAGGATTTCAGCTACGGAAGGGAGGGACAAAAGTGATCCATCTTTTCTATATGGATGACCTCAAGTTATTCGCCCCCAGTCGCTCCCATCTTATGGAATTGCTAAACATCGTTTGTGAATTTAGTAATTCTATTGGAATGGAGCTGGGGACGCATAAGTGTGCGGTCCTCCCTGTTGAAAGGGGAAGGGTCGCTAACTCTGAAGGCATAGACTTATCTATGCCCGTCAACTTAAGGATTACTTTTCCGAGGCTGAAACATACCAATACCTGGGTATGTCACAGAACATCGGTATCGATGAGGCTGGTATGAAACAGTCAGTTTGCGACGTTTTTATGCACGCTTGACCAAAGTGCTTAACAGCCTTTTGTCCGGTGTGAATAAGACACACGCATATAACGGTTGGGTCATGCCTGTCCTCATGTACACCTTTGGCATACACAGGTGGACTCAGACCGAACTTAACGCCCTGGATAGAAAAGTCCGCACTACTATGACGTCCTATAGGATGCATCATCTGAGATCGTCGGTAATGAGGCTGTACTTGCCGCGAAAGCATGGTGGGCGTGGTTTTCTGAGCGCGCTTACCATGCATAATCGCGAAGTGTGCAGCCTCCGTCATTACTTCCCGGCAAGATCGGATGATCCATTCTATAATGACGTCATTTCTAGTGATAAAGGGCTTACCCCTCTATCCTTAGCCAACGAGTAATGGCAGGACCCAGCAGTGCTTATCATTTCCGACCGGGAGACCGTATGGACGGAGAAGGAGCACCACGGAAGGCACTACAGGGCTCTTCATGGGCCCTTCGTAGATACAGTCGCCTCCCTCAACTGGCTACGTTTCGGTGACCTCTTCGGGGAAACCGAGGGTTTTGTCTGTGCAATACAGGATCAGGTTATTAAGACCAACAACTATCGGAGATACATCCTAAAGGATGGCACCGTCGATGTCTGTCGAGCTTGTGAGTCGCTTAGGCATGTCATCTCCGGTTGTTCGGTGCTTTCTAACTCTGAGTACTTGCACAGGCACAACGCTCACTCTGAAATACGATCTCGTGGACCGGAAATTGCCGTATTACAAGTACTTGCCGGAAGCCGTGCTCGAAAATGACCGCGCCAGGCTCTACTAGGACCGGGCCATCATCACAGACAGGACTATTCTTGCGAATAAGCCTGATATTGAGCTGATGGATCGGGCACAGTGAAGGATATTTTTGGTCGACAATACCATTCTGTATGACGAGAAACTCGTGAAAGCCGAAACAGATAAGCAATCAAAATATCTGGACCTGGCTCACGAGGTGACCGACGTGTGGGGTGTTCTGCCGACCGAAATTATTCCTGTAGTCGTCTCTGCGAGGGGAACCCCAGTTAGCCTCTCTGGTCATCTGAGGCGATTTGGACTCAGTGACGGACCGCTCCGGGCTCAAATGCAGAAGGCGGTGCTCCTTGATACTGCCCGCATCGTCCGCCGGTTTCTTTCCCTTTCCCCCTAACCCTCGGCCGTTTGGTATCCCCTGCCGAGGGCTTCTATCTGGTTGGACTTTTATTTATTTATTTTATATATTTTATTGATATTTATATATATTTATATATTTATAGATCCCAACCAGATGAGAAAACTATATAGATAGCCCCCATAATAATAATAATAATAATAATAATACCCGCCACTGGTGGAGTTCGCCGTATGCGTTGGACAACCCAGATGAACAGCAACGCATTGCGGGCGTATTTTAGGGCGAAAGGGAGAGAAACTGGAGGTTTTGCGTATCGGGCAAGGATGCATCGACTTTTTGCTGAGCTGGAGCCATCTGTGACCGTCACCGAGCAAAATCTGGCAGACCGAGTTCGGTATATCTTGCGCTCAAATACATTTGATGTCGCCGAACTCGAACGGCTACGACGTGAGGCTGTTCCCTCATCGGGTGAAAATGCTGCGGCTGAGGATGCGGCGCCACAACTTGCTGAGCAAACGGCAAATGTGAATGCCGCCGTGAATACGCCAGTTGTGGTTGATTCAAACGATGATGGAACAGTCGCCCAGGAACTGGAACTAGAGCAAATGAGGAGTACATTGGAAGAGGCGATTGTGGAAACGCGCAGTACGACTCTCGAAAATCGACCGCGACTTCCCCGCTTAGCCCTAAGCAAGCGGAATCGGGCTGTCGTGAGGGCTCTGAACCCAATGCTGGTTACCTATTTGGAAGCCAGCCGGGACCTTTGCGATACGGACTCAATTCTTTTTGGCGCCGCACTGGCATTCTGCCGTATTATAGGCGCCAAACTTTCCACGGCTGGACGCGCTATTGGACAAAGTAGTGCTATCCCAGCCTGGAGAATAAGAATTAAAGAACGTATCGCAAAGGCTAAGGCCCTCATCGGCAGACTGATATGCTTCAGGTCAGGCAATACCAGGCCAAGGATTGTGCGCACCGTCAGGATGGCGTTTGCTGGGACAAATGTTAGTTTGTCCCAGCCGGATATAATGCAAAAACTGACGGAGCGCATAGACGACCTGAAGCAAAGAATAGCTGCTTGGGGAAAGCGGATTCGGCGATATACCGAGAGGTCGACACGGTTCAACCAGAATCGTCTCTTCCAGAGTGATCAGAAGAGGCTCTATAAATCATTGGAGCGACCAATAGTAAGTGGAACGGGCCCTGCACCAAATCAGGCCGACATGGTCGCATTCTGGCGCAGCCTGTGGTCAGAGCCCGTAAACCACAACGAGGGCCCTTGGACGGAAGTTGTGGCGAGTCAGTGTGCGAGTATTACGCCCATGGACCCCGTCATCATAACGCCGGATGACGTAGCTGAGGCGGTCCGTAGGGCCCCGAACTGGAAAAGTCCGGGGCTTGACGGGCTGCATCACTACTGGCTGAAGGGGTTTATGGTGTGTCACTCTGTGCTCGCCCGACAGTTTCAAGAGGCTCTCAACCAGAAGTCGCTCCCAAGCCTCTTCACTACTGGGATCACTCATTTGGTTCCTAAAGATCAGGGTGCCACAGACCCGAGCAAATACCGCCCCATCACGTGTCTACCGACCATATACAAGACACTAACATCCATTTTGAGCGCAAGAATCGCTCGTCACCTGGACTTAAATCAGGTGATGTCGCGCGCTCAAAATGGATGTCGGGGCGGCGGTCGTGGAACCAAGGAACCACTCCTCATTGACGCGGTCATTGGCAAAGTGGTGAAACGCAACCGTCGAAACTTCTCCGCCGCCTGGATAGATTACAGAAAGGCATTTGACTATGTGCCCCATACACGGCTAAAGAGGGTCCTCGAGCTGTACAAGATTGACTGTACAGTTCGAGACTTCCTCGAGCAGTGTATGGGGCAGTGGAGTACGATCCTCTGTCATCTAGGCGAGCGGATGACGGCTGCGGAAAGCCGCATAAGGATAAGAAGGGGTATATTCCAGGGCGACTGTCTGAGTCCAATCTGGTTCTGCTTCTCTTTGAACCATCTCAGTACTTTACTGGAGGGCTCCGGGAGGGGGATTTCAGCTTCGGAAAGGAGGTACAAAAGTGACCCACCTTTTCTATATGGATGATCTCAAATTATTCGCCTCCAGTCGCTCCCATCTTATGGAATTGCTAAACATCACGTGTGAATTTAGCAATTCTATTAGAATGGAGCTGGGGACGGATAAGTGTGCGGTCCTCCATGTTGAAAGGGGAAGGGTTGCTAACTCTGAGGGCATAGACTTATCTATGCCCGTCAACTTAAGAACCCTTTCCGAGGCTGAAACATACCGATACCTGGGTATGTCACAGAACATCGGTATCGATGAGGCTGGTATGAAACAGTCAGTTTGCGACGTGTTTTATGCACGCTTGACCAAAGTGCTTAACAGCCTTTTGTCCGGTGTGAATAAGGCACACGCATATAACGGTTGGGTCATGCCTGTCCTCATGTATACCTTTGGCATACTCAGGTGGACTCAGACTGAACTTAACGCCCTGGATAGAAAAGTCCGCACTACCATGACGTCCCATAGGATGCATCATCCGAGATCGTCGGTAATGAGGCTGTACTTGCCGCGGAAGCATGGTGGTCGTGGCTTCTTGAGCGCGCTCACCATGCATAATCGCGAAGTGTGCAGCCTCCGTGATTACTTCCTTGCGAGATCGGATGATCCATTCTATAAGGACGTCATTTCTTGTGATAAAGGACTTACCCCTCTATCCTTAGCGAACGAGCAATGACAAGACCCGGCAGTGCAGAGCATTTCCGACCGGGAGACCGTATGGAAGGAGAAGGAGCTCCACGGGAGGTTCTACAAGGCTCTACATGAGCCTTTCGTAGACACAGTAGCCTCCCTCCACTGGCTACGCTTTGGTGATCTCTTCGGGGGAAACCGAGGGTTTTGTCTGTGCAATACAGGATCAGGTTATTAAGACCAACAACTATCGGAGATACATCCTAAAGGATGGCACCGTCGACATCTGTCGAGCTTGTCGCCATCCCGGTGAGTCACTTAGGCATGTTATCTCCGGTTGTTCGGCGCTTTCTAACTCTGAGTACTTGCACAGGCACAACCTAGTAGCCAGAATTCTACACCAGGAGCTCGCTCTGAAATACGGTCTCGTGGATCGGAAATTGCCGTATTACAAGTACTTGCCGGAAGCCGTGCTCGAAAATGATCGCGCCAGGCTCTATTGGGACCGGGCCATCATCACAGACAGGACTATTCTTGCGAATAAGCCTGATATTTTTGGTCGACATTACCATTCCATATGACGAGAACCTCGTGAAAGCCGAAACAGACAAGCAAACAAAATATCTGGACCTGGCTCACGAGGTGACCGACATGTGGGGTGGTCTGCCGACCGAAATTATTCCTGTAGTCGTCTCTGCAAACGGGCTAATCCCAGTCAGCCTCTCGGGTCATCTGAGGCGGCTGGGACTACGTGGCGGACCGCTCCAGGTTCAAATGCAGAAGGCGGTGCTCCTCGATACCGCCCGCATCGTCCGCCGGTTTCTTTCCCTTTCCCCCTAACCCTCGGCCGTTTGGTCATCCCTGCCGAGGGCCTCCATCTGGTTGGGCTTTTACTTATTTATGTACTTTTATATTTATTTTATGCTATTGATATTTATGTATATTTATCTTTTCATTTTCATTTATAATTATATATTTATAGAACCCAACCAGATGAGAAAACTATATAGATACCCCACATAATAATAATAATAATTTATTTGACTCTCAATTGACAAGTTACACTTATGTATTATATCTATTTTATATTACATAATTACATTTCAAAGTAGTTGGCGTTAACGGCCATAGTAGTATAGACTGTGTTACAACCATCAGCGTCTTCCACCCTGAGTAGTACAAAACAAATAAAGTAAAAAATGACAGATTATTTCGCTATAATTATATAGCGAAATAATCTGTCATTTTTTGGTGTATTAACACAAACATATTAATGATAATGGTAAGTGACTACCACTCATGAACAACTGCATCATCTGAATTGCAGGTGCTTTGCCAGTCTTTTAAAAAATAGTAGGCTCTGTATATTATATAAATTTGTTTCTAATATTAAAGTCGAGAAAACATTTATTCCGTATATCAACACTATAGAATATTTTTTCACTATAAAAATGGAACACGCAGTTTTTCACTTTAGGATAACGAATGGTGAAAATGACTTTAAATTAAACTACACTTTTCAGTCAATATAATTGTATATAAAGTGGAAGCTTTCGATGAAATACATATTGATTTTATTATGGTAGTATATTTAAACGTGTTACGAAGATAAAGTTTTGTTAACAAGATTAGTATCAAACTTCAGAAAGTTACAATTTAAACTGTAAAGTTTTGTGAAACAAAGACTTTAAATTTTGAGCATAGTAAAAGTTGTTTATTATGTGCTGTAACTTTGTACGACTAGATCCTACTAAGAACAAGAAATTGTATACGTGACCTACTTCGGTATAAACGTGTTTCGGAGTTATCTATGTAAAGATGAAAGTTTTACTATGTATTGTGAGAGTAATGTTACATTTATCCGGCGTCAATTTTTTTAAATGTATAATTTGATTATACGGCATTTGATCCAACTTGAACACACGGAAAAATAAAAAAGGAATGAATGAACATTCCATGTTATGAATAAGAATGTAACGTACGAAATGCACTGAAAGAAAAGTTAAATAAAAAGTAGCATAGCTTTCAACTGTCTAGAAAGGTAAATAAACTACAGCCTATATTTTGTATTCGTGTTGTTCAGAATTAAAAAGCTTTAGACGAAAATTAAAATTTTGTTTTCATAGAAAGTAAAAGCTGACTTCAAAGAACTAAATATAATAAAATAATTTCCACATAACAGGTTCAGATGTTAAGTCATAAACATACATGGAAATCTCACACTTCTGACGTTATTTTTAATTCGAGCAACTTAGTAGCACTTTCTATAACAGTTAGGGTGTTCAACTAACACACTCTCGTACCATATTTTTGGTTGAGAATTAAGTGCATTTTAACACTTGAGGACAAGATGGAATGCCTCTTTTCCAGATAAATTTTTAAGTATTACTCATCATTTCCATCAGACAAGCCGTGGTAGCCAACCAACCTCCTGTTAGCTTGGGGGCTAAATGCTCGCTGTATATGTCAAATTATGCGAGCAGCCCGGGTTCAAACAACGGCGGCACCAATGAAATCATTAATTAAAATTTTAAATGCTGCCTCACAATTTGCCCTACGTGAGGAAATCTGCATGTCTTAAAAATAAAGAAGTTTATCATTTAATACATCATTTTATTTTTATGCAAATCTTAGGTAATTAATTGACATATTTATTACCACAGGGTTACGCCTGATTTTAATAATTTAACAAATTTATTTTTGAATTATTAAAGACACAAATCGAAAAATGTTAAAATTTGATGTTAGACTGTGACAATTTCCGCGAGGAGTCCACAGTATACCAGATAATAAACTACGAGTATGTAATATTTCATAGATTGTGATTTTTTATGTTTATGCGAATACTACATGGAAAACAAATTTTGTCATGTTTAACTTTTGTAATACCTGACGTTTCTGATAAGAACTGCCTACCTTCGTAACAAGGAGTTGAGGCATTCCATCTAAGCGAGTGAGAATGCATCTGATTTTAACTGCTTCATGCATTTCATTGCTTTATTCTTTGATCCATACTTAAAATCTCAATAAAATTTTCCTTTTTCTCCGGGGTGCTCGTACATTTAGTAGAAATAATATACTTCTCGTATATAAACGCGCTTTCAAGGTATTGCTTCCAGTTCTATAAAATCGAAACGTCATAATTCATAACACATCCTCTCTCGTCTCACACAGCAATAATTCTAGGCTACTCCGACTTTTCCTGGGCTGTTATGACGAGGGTCCAGAAATTACTAATATTTGCCTGGTAGTATAAATAGTCTCCTGACATTCTTTTTCGTTCTTACTTACTTTATTCTTTCTAATTCTTCATTTACTATCCTATTTCAACATCTAAAACTTTGGTTTTTTTGCATGTTATTAAAACTATTTTTTTTATCTGTTTGACCGGTTGTTTCTCTGTCTGTCTGTCTGAACTAATCTCAGGGGGGTTATTCGCATGCTATTAAGACATCAATAAGGGTAAGAAAATAGGTGTTTCAGTTATTATTGAAACTACAGATTCAGACGTCATCCTTTTTAACCCTAATTTGTGATATTATGAGTCCACTCAAGGGTTAAATGATTGAACTTTGAAAAGTACAAACCTGTTTAAACGTTAAAGAATAAAATAATTTCCACATAAGTTGTTAGCTTCCGAAGTCGAGACTTTAATCTTTCATGCACTATGTCTTATCATAAACTTTTGAAGCTATAAATTATAGGTATCACATTATTTCTTACATTAGTCTTGTGAGTTTATTTCAGGTTTTATTTTTGAAAATTAATTATACAACCCATTTTCGCTTACAGAACTTCCTCGCGGAGATGCTTGTCGAGCCCGAAATGTCGAGTATTCTTGAAAGCGTATTCTCGGGTCATGTGCATGAAATTCATAACCTTTAAAAGTACTTGTTTAAAAATATATAGAGTAACTGACTTTTGTTTAAACCACAGGATAGAAAATTTCGTATAAATTCTATATTGCTAAACTTCTTCATAGAAAAGTAGTCTCTAAATATAAGTATTTATAGGTTAAAGCTTTTATAGGTTTGAATACCAGCGTGAAATAGTAGCTTAATGCTGCTGTGTTTCGTATGGTGAGTGTAGAGAACCGGAGACCCTTTTTACTGGAAACGAGGCATTCCATCTTAGTCCTCACGGGTGACAACGCATCTGCATTTTGATTCGTAATTGAGGATAGATGTAGATGTCTATGGGCCACAGCAACCACTTACCATCAGGTGGATCGTGTGCTCGTTTGTCACCCTATCCTATAAAAAAAAAAAAAGTGCTGTGGGTGGGTGCGGTCGAATCCGACCGCTTAAATTTTGACGGAACATCGCCTTGGCCGGATCCGACCGTGTGCTCATTGAAAGGTTAAGATCAATTACTAGATGAAAGAGGTTGAACAAACACCTTTAAAATATCTTGGTAGTTTAGCATTCACTAATTTCGGTATTTGTAATTAAAAGACGTCATGAGAACTGAAACGGGTTGACGGATACCGATAAGCACCGTAAGCGCTTTTGACAGATGTGTTCGTAACAATAGTCTAAAATTATTATTGTGTGAGTTAGAGGTTATCAAACTTAAGCTACTTTCATAGTTATAATTACAGTTCTTCATATAAAGAATGAATAGATTGACACAAAGCACAGTTTTGGATCACATCCCTTGATCAGCTCTTTCATCACTTTATCTAATTGTTGGTGTCCCAACGCGTTTTTCAGTACGAGGCTTCTACTTAGCAGCTTGAGAGTATCTGTTCTTGAAATAATACTAGTTTTTACGGAATTTATCGCGTATATTTAACTTTTTAAATACCCGAAGTTTCGAACGCTTTACAGCACTCATGGTCACGGGCGGGACTGAGATGTTCAACGTCCATATGTCATAGTTAACCGCGGTTACCATAGATTAAAATTTAACTTTTGTTCCGATCTATGCAGTATGAACTTATGATATCTTGAAGTCTTGCAGTTGTATGCTTGGGTTGGGATTTAATTTTATTTATTATAGGATCCCAAGCAGATGGTAGCACCCAGACATCTTCTCTATTGAAATTAGGATGTTTTTTGATTTCAATAGCCTCGCGAATCATCCTTGGAAGGAATCGGTGTTCTTTAGCGAGGATCTGCGGTCTATCAAATCTGATGTAGTGACGGGGGCGATCCTGTACGTGTTCACAGACTGCAGACTTCCCGGAGCGTCGATTTTTCACATCAGCTATATGTTCTTTAACGCGGGTTTTTATTGATCTTTTAGTTTGTCCTATGTAGGAGAGACCACATTCACAATCAAGCTTGTACACTCCTGCATCTTGCAGAGGGACATTACACTTGACCGATGGTAAAAACTGACCAATCTTCTTCAGCGGCTTGAAGTATGTTTTGATGGAAGCGCGCTTCAAATGTAGCCAATCTTGTCAGTGACTCCTCTAACATATGGCAGTACAGCAGGTACACGCTCGACTGTGGCCGGCTTCACTCGTTCACTGTGACGTAGACGCGGGACTCGAAGCTTGTTGTCATGCAAAACTTGCTTGACATGGTGGAGCTCTGCAGCCAGGTGTTTACTGTCACAGATCCCTCGTGCTCTCTGAAACAAAGATTTACCCACGGTAGCTAACTGTGAAGGATGGTGGTGAGAATCACCGTTTAAATATCTATCTGTATGGGTCTTTTTTCTATACACAGTATGGCTCAAGGTGTTATCAGGATTCCGAATTACTAACAAATCTAGAAAAGCTAAGGAATTGTTTGCCTCTAACTCCATTGTGAATTGAATTTTAATATTTATGGAGTTAAGATGGTCGAAAAATGCAGTTACTTTATCTAAAGGTAGAATTGTGAAATTGTCGTCTAGGTACCGCTCGTAGAACCTTGGATTTATGGGAGAACTAAGCAGGGCTTTCTCCTCAAAGTCTTCCATGAATATGTCGGCGACAATGGGAGATACAGGTGCGCCCATCGCCACACCATCTACTTGCTTGTAGAACACCTCCTTCCACAATAGGTAGCCAGATGTAAGGCAGTGTCTGAGTAATACTGCATATTCTACGGGCATGTTGTTTTCTTCCAGTCTTCTAGTTACAATTGAGATGCAGTCTTCAACAGGTAAGCATGTAAACAATGACTGCACATCAAAACTGACCATAGTTTCATTGTCTTCACCTTGTTAAACTCTCCTCAGTTACCTGGTAGTGGCGGTGTAAGAACATCCACTGCTCCATATCATTCCGTGGATGTCGTAAGAAGCGACAGAGGGAAACAAACTAGAAGATGGGTAGCAGCGTTTTCATTATAACAATAAAAAAACTGCAGTTGCCAACCAGCTTGCCAAGCGTGCCAACGATAGAAAATATCTCCCCCTATGAATCAATCTGTGGGGGAGGTGTATGTTCAGCAGTGGACTTTAATAGGTTGTAACCGTAAGCTATAATACTTTTAATTCACTGCTGATATATGTTAACTTTCCCAAGAACGCGCCATGGGACACGCTTATGTTCAAAGATTTCATCATGCTCATACTCACTACACTGGATAGATGGGTTGGTGAGTTGACACTGTTGCCCCCCATTAGCAGTCGAGAACCTTCTCATTTTTCTTCGCCATCGGATTTTAGTTCTTCGAGCTATTATAGGCTAATTTTTTATATAATAAAATAAATAAATAAATAAAATAAAATAGCCTATATTTCTACTACAATACAAACGTGAATTATTATTAATCTAGGTAATAATAGTATAGAATAGTTTATATGTTTTTTTACGTATAATTATGTATGTATATATAAGACTTAGTTAATGTTAGCTAATAGTAGTCGCCTCTGCGGCGTAGGTTCTTTTCTTCTCGTATAACTCTTTTCTCTGTTCTAAGAGATCTTTTGTCTCTTCGTTTGTATATTTGTTTACATGTTTCTTTTTCCGTGGCAGCTGTTTCAGAAACTCTTGCAACTCATGTTCTAACTTATCATATTATTATTTTTGAACCTGTGTTTGTGTACTAACCGCTTCTATAAATTTGTTTCTCCAATAGTTAGCGTTGTCTTTTGAAATATCTATTGAAATCTCTAGTGTACACGACAGAGTTTAGTTTCCTTCTTTTTGGTTTTGAGGTCAGTGATATTTCACATCTAATCATCCTGTGATCAGAATTGAAGTTTAAGTTTTTTATTATATCGAAATTCTTTACACTGGTCGGTCGATTTGTTAATATATAGTCAATTTCGTTAAAATGTTGACTAATTGGGGATCGCCATGTCCATTTTTTGTGTGGTTTGCATGGGAACATGCTGTTAATGAAGTAGTAATCCTTTTCGAGTTCAAATTTTACTAGTCTCTGGCCGTGTGGGCTTCTTTTTCCATGTGCGTATTGTCCAATATTCTTTCCTTCGTTTTTTGAGCTTTCCCAATTTTTGCATTGAAATCTCCACGTAAAATTATATTTTTTTGTGTGAACAGAGTCTAAGACAGATTGCATTGTTGTATAAAAATGCTCTATGTCTTCTGCAAGCACTAATGCTCTGTGGGGGTGTATTATTGGACGAGTGACCAGGTAGAGTTATCAGATGTTTGTATTTCAAGTAACGCTACCCGATCCGAGAAACTTTTTATATTCACTATATTATTCTTTAAATGTTTTTTAATCAAGAATCCCACTCCATTTCTTCCGTTCGTCGCAAATGTATGAAATAAGATAAAATTGGTGTGTTTCTCTATTGCTTTTATTTCCCTCCTTGTTTCACATAATGTCCCATTTTATTGACATAACAGCGTATTTTAATTCTTCTATTTTGATATCCGATATTAAGGTCCTTACATTAATACTTGCTATATAGAGATTTTGTGGTTTTTGTTTTTTGTTTATGTTTTTGTTTCTAATCTTGTATGATTGTTTTTTATGTGATTTGTGATGATTAGGAGGTGGTGGTCCAACTCCTCCACGGTGACCAGACGGCTTGAGGGAGGTAGAGGGGTTGAAGAGGCGCTTATTAATTTTTTGAAAGGTCTTCCACATTTTCAGTTGGTATTGCTCGATTGTTGAGATTCAGCTGCGATGGGCGAAGGAAACTAGTTATAGTGTGTGGCTTTTTTTTTGGTATTTCTTTTGACCTTTCGTGGTCACATTCTTTTGCACTTTCTTTCTCTGGTTCTATAGGCGATTTAGATATAAAACGTTTGTTCATGTTTTTGTTTTTTTTTCTGTGTGCGTACTTCAGATTCATGTGATTTTAGTGTCACAATTTTGTCGTAGCGTAAAGCCACTCTCTTTTTCTCTTTCGCGTTTAAGGTCATCTTGTAACTTCCGTTTTTATCAGACGCTAGGTAGAAAATATTCTTTCAGGTAAATATTTGTACTCTCTAGCGATTTTTCTTTTGAAGTATCTCTATTCTCCTGCTTGTTGTTGTTATTATGATAACAACTGGTTTGACTTTTCCTGATATTTTCCCCATCCTATTAACGTGTTTAATTTCCCATTTATGGTAAGGTATTTTCATCGTGTTATTAATGATATCTAAAACAATGGAGAGTAAACTATCATACCCCTTTTCTTTTTCTTCGATCTCAAAAAATGTAACATTCTTTCTTCTGAGCTGCTTATCTAAGATTTCTTTAGTTTTTGGTTGTTGTTCGATTTTCATTTTTAACTGTTTTGTTTTATTTTCAAAAACTGTTGATTTTGCGTGTTGATTTCTTCAATATTTCAAATAGAAGCTTCTAGCTTTGAGTTTAACTCTCGACGGTTTTTCGGATATTGGTACGAGAATATCAATTTTGTGAAGTACACAACATTTGTCCGAAGAATTCACAACTTATTTCAGGTATTTATCACTTCGATTTACAAGCTTTTAGATTTAATAAAGCACAATTATATAGCAGAGCCAATGTAAACGTGAGCACAGTCGCACCTTCTCTCCTAATAGGCTAAATTTTTATATAGACGGCGGCAAATGAGTATACATCTCCCATGATGGTAAGTTACTAGCAGTTTCGTTTCCGGCCTAATAAAAAAGAGTAGACTCTATAGATGCATATATAAATTGGTTTCTAATAATAGGTTTTTACTTATGAAATTGCAGTTCCACAGTACTGGTTATTAAAAATAAAAATAATTTTCGTTAGGCTAAGGATAAAATTTTAAAATTAATTTTATTTTAAAAACTTGAAATACTTTGTTCAAAATTAGTCATTTATTAATTGATTGGCGTTATGTTTTCATCGCATTTGAATTTTTTCCTTCATCATGGATACGTTACAAAATTGAGTAATTTTGGAATATGAGTACCATCGTGATAGCAACGCGGCACAAGCAGCACGCAACATCAACGACATTTACGGAGCGCATACTACAAAGGTACACACCATCTGTTATATGTTGCCCGCTTCCGTTTTGGAAATTGCGATCTGAAAAACGAACCCCGTGGTCATCCGAAAACTTTGGTTGACAATGACGAATGAAAGGCTATTGTGCAAGCTGATGATATATAATCTACGGCTAAATTAGCGGCCACTTCGAAGTTAGCATTAAAACAATATTGCCCTCCGAGCTTAATTACCGCCAGCATGAAGTACGCGTCGAGAGGCGCCATGCTCTGCTCAACATGTACACAAACGGAGGAATTTTGAACCGCATTGTTACCTGCGACTATATATTAGTTATCCTATGAAATATTTTTGTTTGTATTCGCCAGCGGTCAGTAAGTTCGTTGGATCTTGGTTCAGCACCTTAACAATACCATAAACGAAAATTTACCCCTAGAAAAGTGATGATCACTGCTTGGTGGTCTAGCGCCGATGTGGTTCATCACAGCACCTTACCAAACGGGATGAGCGTTACTGCAGATATGCACTGTGAAGAACTGAACACAATGATGAAGAAGCTCTCACGTCTCCTACCAGCTTTGATCAATCGTTCGTCGCCACTGCTCCTGCACAAACACGCGCGACTTCATTCTGCACAACAGACTGTTTCCAATTCACGAGAGCTGAGGTTGACAGCTCATGCGCATAACATTGACTGGTCAGTGATTGAGAGAGTACCGTGCATTGATGATAAAGTTGAACTTTTCTGTTCCTTACTTACTCAGCTTTATGACATTCACGCGCCAATGCATTACGTAAAACTCAAACATTTACCTGCTCCATGGCTCTCTGATGATCTGAAAAAACTTATCTTGAAGAAAAATGTAGCATTGTCAAAGCTTAAGAGGAATAAAACAGAGGAAAACCAAAGTAAATACGCCAAAATCAGGAATCGCTGCAATACATTATGTAGAGATGCACAACGACGCCATATTCATACATCAGTCGAGAACGGCGACTCATCTAGAGTGTGGAAGTTTCTTAAAACAGTTGGAGTTGGAAGAACATCCCTAAATGCCTTACCTCCTTGTGTTGATGTTGAACTATTAAATCAACATTTTTCTAATCCTTCTAACTCTTTTGATAGAGAACAGAAAATGCAAACACTTCGTTCTCTTTCTGTAACTCCGACTCCTAATTATCCTCCGTTCGTTTTTAGTCAGTTTACTGTATGTGATGTTAAGAAGATCATATTATCCATCTCCTCAAAAGCTGTCGGTAGCGACAACATTAGCCGTGATATGATCATTCCTCTCCTTGATGTTATCGCTCCTACTATTACTTATTTACTTAATGCATGTGTCTCTTCGTCTAAATTCCCTCAAGCCTGGAAGAGTGCACATGTTATACCCCTTCCGAAGAGATCCAATCCTGTCAACCTTTCTGATTTCCGTCCCATCTCGATCTTACCTTTCCTTTCTAAAGTCCTTGAAAAACTTATTTGCCAACAGCTAACCCTTTTCCTTAATAAGCACAATTTGTTGAATCCTTTACAATCAGGTTTCCGTCCTGGTCATAGTACGGCTACTGCCTTAATCAAAGTTACTGATGACATACGGTGGGGTATAGATAATAAACAACTCACAGTCATGACCTTGCTGGATTTCAGTAATGCGTTCAATACTGTTGATTTCGATATACTGTTGAGTCTATTGTGTTCCCTTAACATATCTCCATCAGTAATTGACTGGTTTCAAAGTTATCTCTGTGGTAAGTGTATTCGTGTAGATGAAACTCACTCATCTTGGTGTGATATTACTGCAGGCGTGCCGCAGGGCGGCGTGTTGTCACCTTTACTCTTTTCCATTTTCATTAATTCAATCACTCATAAAATATCTTCTCTCTACCACATGTATGCGGATGATGTTCAGATTTACACCCAGTCAACTCTTGAGAATTTGCCGAATGCAATCTCTATATTAAATAACGATTTAAATATTATTCATGAGTGGAGTAAGGCATACGGCCTAAATGTTAATCCCAAAAAATCACAGGCCATTATTATTGGTAGCCGGAGCTTTATCTCAAGAATTGACTGGTCCTCCGTACCACCTATCGAATTCGATGGAATTGTAATTCCTTACTTTGACAGTGTCAAAAATCTTGGTATTTATTTCGATAACTCCTTAAATTGGATACGCCAACTGAATGAGGTAAGTAAGAAAACCTTTGTCGCTCTTAGTTCACTGCGTCGCCTTCGATCATTTCTTCCCATTCCTACAAAAATTATGCTCGCACAGTCTCTTCTCCTTCCGATTCTCGACTATGCTGACGCAAGCTATGTAGACATAACTGAGGACCAGCTAAATAAGCTTGAGAGACTTCAAAACACTAGTATTCGGTTCATATTTGGATTGCGCAAATTTGACCATATTTCCCAATTTCGCTCACGTCTCAAGTGGTTACCTATCCGACTTCGCCGGAATATGCATATTCTTTCTATTCTGTACTGTGTATTATTTCACCCTTCTACACCTCCTTATCTAAAGGAGAAGTTTAGTTTTGTAGGGCTTCCAGGAGAACCTCTACGTTCTTCAAGAAAATTCATTTTAAGGGTTCCAACTCACAATACTTCCTTTTTTTAATAAATCTTTTACTGTCCAATCTATCAAGCTCTGGAATGCCCTACCGTTGCGTATACGTGAAGCACAAACGATTGTTATATTTAAGCGACTACTTAAAGAGCATTACTTGTCTCAGTCGTTTTAACACCGTTAGAATAAATTAAGTGATTATGTATCTATTGTATTTATCTGCTTTATATTATTGTTTGAGGAATTTTTTATGTATATGTATATATATATCTATATTTGAGTAAATGTGTAAGTTTGTTTATATATTTATATATATGTATGTATATTTATATTTATATATGTTTTACTTTATTTTTATTATATTTTAGCAATTTATATAATTTCATGTATTAGTTATTTGTATGTTATTTTATTGCATGTATTGTCTATAAATCGCTATTATATTATGTATATTTATATTGCACCACCTACCTAGTTCTCACTGTTCTAATCCTTACACCTTTGGTTGCCTGGAAGAGATCGCTATGTAGCGATAAGGCCGCCAAATTGTACTTACATAATATTATAATCTTTTTTGTGTTTTGTTAACTGTATATTTGTTTGTGGTGTACAATAAGTATATTCATTCATTCACTCTTCGTCATACGCCGTACTCATCAGACCTTGCGTCTATAGACTTCTACTTTTTCCAGAATTGATAATAATAATTATCAATTCTGGAAATATGAATAATTTTCTAGCGGAAAAAAATTCAATACCCGGGAGGCAGTACAAAATGCCTTTGAAGAAATTGTTGCTTCCCATCCAGTTGATATATTTATGAAGGGCATTAGTAAACTGCCACTGCGTTGGCAAAAATGCATCGATTGTATGGGTGAATACTTTGATTAATAGAAATAAAAATATAGAAAAAAATTACGTTAACCTTTTTCATAAAAAACGGCAATTTCATATGTAAATACCTAATATTAAATGTTATTATTTTTTTATTTCTTGCACCAAAACAAATAATATTTTGTCGCAATTAAAATAGAACACAAAATTTTTCAGTTTAGTATAGCAAATGGTGAAAATGGCGTTGAATTAAACTACATTTTACAGTCAATATAATTGTAGATATAGTAGAAGCTTTCGATGAAATACGAGTACGTAGCGGGATACGTTCTTGTGTGCCAACTGGTGCAGCCTCAAGTAATGTATTTGCAATCCGTTGGAAAATGAACACGAAGTTAAATCTTTACAATTTAAACTTAAAAACGTGTTACGATGATAATTTTTTTAATCAAGTTTTGTGATCAATACAATAAAAAGTTATAATTCCCACTGTTAAGTTTTGTAAAACAAACACTTCGAAGTTTTAAGCGTTGTAAAAGTTGTTTCTGTGCTCTAAGTTTGAAGGACTGGATCCCACCAAGAACATGAATGTGAATAGGCGACCAAATTCGGTACAAACGAGTTTCGGAGTTATCTATGTATAGATGAAAGATTTACAACGTTTTATGAGGCTAATATTAGACTTATTAGCTTTAACTTTGTATATTAATTTAATGTATAATTATGTTATACAGTATTTTTTTGTGTATATTATATATATATACATATATATATATATATATATATATATATATATATATATATATATATATATATATTTTTGTTTGTGAGCGAGTGTGTAGAGTGTTTGGCCAAACTTGAACACACGGGAAAAATAAAAAATAAATGAATGAACATGCTTCTATTCGTTC